AGCAGCGGTGCAGATCTGCAGTGGGTCACTTTTGTTTGCATCTTGCAGGCGAAAGGAATGCAGATGTTTGTCTTCCTCTGCACGTGATGGGTCGTTTGGGGCTCTTTTAATACATTCTGATTCAGTTTAGTACTGCCTGGTTTAGTTTCAGCTTCTGGTTTTCATGCCAGGGTAGAAGGCATTGGAGGATGATGAATCGGTAGACCAGCAAAAAGCTTGTATGGACAAGTTCTTCTATCTCAGAGGCATTTATCCAGTAGGAGGGTTTTATCCCATGATTATCAGGATAAAATTAACTCGTGTAAGAGCTTGTATGTAGGGGAGGTAGTCGAGAGAGTAAATGAAGTCGCATTGATGCCTGAAGTATGGACTGGACCATGTATGTTATTTTTCTGCCGTGTGTGTCAGCCACTGCTGGCACTGCTCCCTATGTTTGGGATTGTCCCAAACCCCGTGGCACAGGTCTAGATAGTATGCAAGCGCAGTGGCTGCATTTCCATCCCTTCTCTGGCACCTGGAGCAGTCTGTGGTGCTCCTATCCCTAGGAGGGATGCTGAAATGACTGGAATTGCCTTTTCTGAGTTTCTGTTTGTCCAGTGCCTTTCTGTGTGCAGGACTGAAAAGGAACTGCTAGGTCAGGAGCAGGCTTCTGTGGTTGTTTTTCATTCAGCTGCACATACAGAGCCCAGAGGAATGCTGAACAAAGGTCTGTTTCATGCCCTTCCTGCTCTTGACATCCTATCTCTGCCTCCTATTGCGAGCTTAACCGCCCTACAAACTCTGGTTCCTTCTGCGTTCACACCATGCTTCACCACTTTATCAAAAACGAGCTGTAGGAAGAGGTGGCCTGTGAGGGCCAACATGGTGGTTGGCGCATGCCAGGTTGATTGTCATACAGTAATGCTGGGCAGGTTTCCGGTCGTTGGGAGGCTGTCGCTTAGTATGTCTGTGAGTCGTGCCTTGTAGGGTCAGTGTGCTGCGTGCTCAGAACGCAGAGGCTGAGCCGTGAACAGCGCTAGGCTCTTGGCGGCCTCGGAGGGTTTGTGCAAGTTCATCTCTTGTCAAGTCAGGTGTTTAGGATTTGCAGAGAAATTGGTTGGGTTTAGGGGCGGGTCTTACACATCAGCTCAACCTACTCACTGCACCTGTGGCAGTGTTAACACTTCTGCTTTTGGCTAGCTGATCTTCACTGGTTTTATGTGTGAAAAGCTTGTGAAACTATGTCTGCATATGATAATAAAACATAGTTGCTTGTTGTTTGGGTTTTTTTGGTTTTGTTTCCAAGGAGTGACAAAAGGTTTTGTTTTCTGATTTTTTTTCTCCTCTTCTCCTGTGTGTTGAGGAATTCCTCTTGAGAGGATAAGAAATATTGTATATTGTGTTCTTGTTTAAACTTGTGTCAGCATCTCCTTGCTATCAGGAATAGAATTCACTTACCCTCTACATAACCTCAGTCGATGAGGTGCCTGTACCTGGGGCACAGTGGGTGAACCAGAGAGGCATGGGAGTCAGTTGAGAAACCACAGTGACTTTAAAACTTAAACTTTTTGGATCAGCTCTGGTATAAGGAATTTGCATGAGAATAATTTGGACTGGCTTCTTAGCTGATTTAGCTTTTTTGGGGTCAGGTAAACAAATAGAACTGATGTGGTTCTACCAAAAAAAAAGGGATCAGAATCTTAAATTTTACTTATTTTATGAAGATAATTATCTACATACATATTTTTGGTTGGACCCTGGTGAGCCTCCTGCCAATGAGCTGAGTTTAGCCTATTAGTTACCTGTTCACGCCATGCCTCGCTCCAGGGGAAATCATGCTTTATTTATGTGCAGAGCCTTTAAAAACAACCCGGTAGCTGCTTTCAACTTGCTTTGCATGCTGGAAATAAATACAGAAATACAGCAGGTGGTGATGGAGACTTTACCTCAGACTTTGAAGATGTAAAACGAGTGGGCTCTTTCCTAATAAGTGCAAATGATGATCTGTAAATGGTATAATGATGATTTCAATGCTGAATTAAAGTCGGGTGAAATAAAAGCACTTCCTTATCCATGCATGTTACAGCTGAGTAAGTTGGGGGTGTAACGTCTAATAGCATTCAGGATAGCTGCTGCATTAACTGTGTACCTGTTTTCCTTGAAATAGGAACAGAGCTAATCCCCCTTACCTAATTAGGTAAGTGATGCTGCGTGTTCAGCGTGGACAGTAACTGTGCAACACATGATATGCTGTAAGCTTATGCCCCAGCTTGCCTTGCTGCAATTTGTATGTCAGTCCCTGCCACGAAAGAAATTTGGAAAACATCCAGGAGATACTTTTTTTGTGTTATATATAAACAAAATGCGTCATGATCTGTTGTGATGCCTATCTGATGTGACAAGCTTCTGACTTTGACAGGAATGTCTTCGTAGTTTGGGCCCAGAGCTCTGAATAGCAAAACAAGAGAACATCTGGTCTCTGCTGCTGAAACATTGAAACGTTGAAAGACTAATTAGTTGCGTAAGCACTAATATGTAATAATACGTACAGTCAGCTCGAATAGCTACAAGAAACATAGGGATGTTTGACTGTGTTCTTGTAATGACCCACCAACCTGTGTGACTGAGGCTGCGTTACTTGCCCTCACCCCTGTCCAAATACAACTGGCTCTTTATGCACCTCTTTATTAAGAAGTGCTAATGCTCTGTTTGCTGGTATGCGCTGTGGTTTGTTTACGCCTAGAAATACGTTCTTGAGTGACAGAATCAAGTCCCTGCTTATTTCAGAGGGCATTGTCCTAATTGGGGGTTTAAAGCGAGCTGAAGCTGTCAGGGAAACAATTACTTTGATTTTGAAAGAAAAGGTGATGTTATTGTTGAAGCAGCAGGGTAGAAGTAGGTTAAATTTAATGTGCCCTCTTTCTCTTTTGGCAGCATGGAAGTCACTTAATTTTTAGCTATAGGTCTGCATCCATGTGGCTCTTGTTGTGTGAACAAGTGGAACAGATGCTGGGTGCTCTTGGACTGGGGGCACGTTTTTGTGTGTTTGGTTAGTTGGAGCCTCTTTTATTTGTACCATAGAAATTCCAGCAATTGCAAGTTGAGAGCATGTTTGGAAATTGAACCACTGTTTTAACTACACAGCTGAGTGAAGATGTGGAGCGAGTTTCTGAAAACCCAACAGATGAGAGAGAAGGAGAGATGGAAGTTCATGAAGATGCCAGCTCTGTTATTTTACCAGGTGAGAACTGCTGACCCAGAAATTACCATTTTTACGTGCCTGATAAGCTGCTTCTGTGTGTGGGTTTGGTTGGGTGGTGGTTTTTTTTTTGCACTTCTGAAAGGAAACAGAACACTGGATTACTGGTTTTGGGGAATAAGTGCTGATGGAAAGCCAAGGAGTTTTTCTAGGGATTGAAATGAGAAGATTCCTTTGTCATGAAGCGTGCTCAAAGGAGGTTCGGCGCACGCGGTTCTGAGGTAGCTTAGTATATCACCTTCCTTCTCGTGTGCCTTACCTGCGTCGCGGTGTCTGTGATGGCGGTGGATTGCAGAGTCTGTGCCAGGTTTACCTGAGCGGGGTGCAGTGTTGAACAGATGTGCTTTTAAATAGGCTGCAGTTAGACCACTCCGAACCGCTTTTGGAGGGTGTGGGGCAGTGTGAAATGGGCTTACTGCAGCTCAGGCGTAGGCAATAAGGTAAACCAGCCTGAAATGAGCATCCCTTTTGCCTCTGTTCAACACGTACTTTTTTCAGTAACTCAGTTGTATGCATATTAATGTCCTAGTTTCCTGGTCTGCTATCTCCTGGCAGTGAACTCGGGAACACGTGTGTGACCGTGGACCTTTGCAGGAACTTACGTGTTTGACAGGATTTACTAAAAGGCTGGTGTTTGCTGTGGTACGGCACAGACACCAAACCACGTAGTTGAAGGGCAGAGTGCGGGGTAGCCTGCAGGGGCCTGACTCGTGTGGTCACACCACACAGAAAAGTCAGCGTAAAATACGCCGACTTCCTTCCTTTTGTGCGTTGGGTTTTAGTGCTCTTTTTGTGTGTTCAGCTCTATACTGCTCACAGCTAAAACGTGACGTGTAACTCAAGTACATGGACGTTTTCCTTACAAGTGTTGTCAAAAGGAATGGCGAATGCAAATAGTATAGGGAAGGCAACGTCTGTGTACCAGGGAGAGTAGTGGGGAGATCTTCACAGCATAAGCTTTGAAGGCAAGGAGCCTGATAGAATAGGATCGGTCTTTTTCTAGCTGTAATTGGAATAACCCTTTTGTGAAGCTTTGTTACATACACAAGGAGTTATGAACTAGAGTCCAAAAACGAGAGGATAACAAATATCTGGTGTTGTTTACCACGGTGGACATGCAATGCAGACAGCTGTGTAAGAGCATTAGAACGTTTAGTGTCTCTGCTGATGCATGTGCTGAGTATAGAAGAATCAGTTCAGACTGGGAAGGGGGAAAGGAGTTGTTTTTCCAGGAGGAAAGATTGGCCACCAACAGACATTTCTTTTTTTTATGTGAACTTTGAACTTTGTTTCTGAGTTGTCCTTCTTGAAAACAAAACTTGTTTCCTGTCTGCCGTGTTTTTAAGCAGAGTGCCAAGTCCAACATACGAAAAAGAGGCAATCTCTGATGATTATGCCTCTTGCTTGAGAAGGAAGCAGCTGTCTGATTATCAAAACCAGCAATATTTGTGGGTTTTTTTTAAATCAAACTGAGTTGGGCCTTTACTTTCCTCTCAAGTGATTAATCTTTAAATGAACACTGCTACACAAATTCAGCCCAGATATCTGTATTTTAATGTCCTAATCCACATTCTGTTTGGTTCCAGATGGTGAACTGGGTACCACTGCCCCTTCTTTGCGTTTCAGCAAGACCTGCCTAAAGAATGTTTTTTCAGTAATTCTCCTGTTTATCTATCTGCTGCTCATGGCTGTAGCTGTGTTCCTTGTCTACCAAACCATCAGTGACTTCAGGGAGAAGCTTAAGCACCCAGTGATGTCTGTCTCATACAAGGAAGTGTCCTTGTACGATGCACCTGGTAAGAGTAGTAACAAAGAAAGTGGGTTACCTTGCTGTTCACATTTATATTGGAGTGAGTTACAGGTTTGGTGTTGATTCTCCAGGGCCCAGAGTGCATATTGTGCTTTGACCCAGGTCTTTCACTTGGTCTTTGTTTTTTAATCTGTTGTGTTGACTTTGCATGGAAATGTTAATTTTGTAAGGGAGATTTTTGGAGAGATTTTTGAAGCTTTCATGCCAGTAACATGAATGACAGTAGCTGTGCAGTGTCATGCAACATCTGATAGATCAGAAGCATTTGCAGACTCCAGCATGGGCCCTCCTCTAGGGAAATAAGGTGATTCCTCATGGAAATATTCCCAAAGCTGCCTTGTTCAAAAGGTTAGCACGGAGGATGTGTATCAGGAGGATGTGTATCAGGACCTCGGTGCTGCACTGGATAGTGAGGTGCTGTTGCCAGTAAAGAAGGTGAATTTCTCAAACCAACCACAAAACCCCCACAATGCCACTTTCTGCTTCTGTTCTGTTTACAACTTGCTATTACATCAGTAGGCAATGAACATGGGATGTGACTGCAGGGAACAGGGTTGGCATAAAAATGCCATGTGGCATCAGGAAACTTCCTCAGTGCTGCACTGGATAGTGAGGTGCTCTTGCCAGTAAAGAAGGTGAATTTCTCAAACCAACCACAAAACCCCCACAATGCCACTTTCTGCTTCTGTTCTGTTTACAACTTGCTATTACATCAGTAGGCAATGAACATGGGATGTGACTGCAGGGAACAGGGTTGGCATAAAAATGCCATGTGGCATCAGGAAACTTGCAGTTTGCAGGAGGGATTACTCCGCAGAAGCATTTTTGAATAGTGAGTTCTACCATTATTTTTTTTTAATTACCCAGCAACCATTCATAAATAGCGCTGCGGTAGCAAGTGCAACTCTGCAGTCATATGTCAGTTTCCAAATTAAAAATAACACTCTTGTTGGGAGTGTTACTACGTTTTACAAATAGCCACTTCAGTAATTATGCCCGAAAGGCGAGTGTTTCAAGCTGTTGCTGTATCCTGTAGTTGTTTTTCTGTATGGCTAGTTAGGCTCAGCTCCAGTAGGTCCTTGCATTTGGACCGTATGGTTCTGATTGAAAGAGCAGGCTTTTCCCTTTTTTTCACGTGAGCTTTTCATACAGCAGCAGGAAGAAGGTGTCATTTAAAGAAGCAGAGCAACATACGTATAAATCCAGAGGTATTGTCGGGGATCCCTGCCAGATCAGAGAACATAAGTTAATGTAGCTCTTCCCTTCACTGCTCTATTCGAGTGACGTGATGGCAAATCGCAAGCATGGAGCACTGAAGAAAGGGCTAAAGGACTTCTAGGCTGATGTATGCTGACTGCTTTGACGTCTTGCCTTTTGGCAGGCAGGTCATCTCAGTTGTGCGAGTTAATCATATCTAATAACTCAGATCATACTATTTTTGGTAGTGAGTCTAGGTTATCTTCAAGCAAGATTGTTTCCAAATGTGGCATAACAGGATTTTGGGGTTTGGGCCTCTAATTTGCCAGCCTTCTACAGCTGAGGTGACTGAGGTTTCTTTAATGCATGTTGGTGGTCTGAAACCACAGTTCTATAGTGTCTGTGAATTTCCTTTCAAGTGAAGGAGTAGCCTACCTATCTAGTGATATCGGTAATAAGGGATGGTAGCAGTTGGTAACCTGTTTGATAGCTTTGATTTTTATTGTGACATTGTATTCAGTGAACAGAAGATGCTAGATGTCCTGAAAAGCATCTTTTCACTTTTAGTAGGCCAGCCAGTGATCTTTGATCTGTCCTGTATAGTATGTACAATATTCTCAATTAAAATTTGACATGGTAAATGGTAGTATCTGAAAACACATACGTGCTAAAGCGCTGTATGTCCCACCTGACTTCAGTACTCTCCTACCTTCACATATTCTTCCTATGTGGGGCCAGAGGGATGGATGTGTTAGCTGCTGGCTTGTGAGAAGACTAAAGGAACTTTGTAACTTCTGTGAACCTTGAATTGTTGTAACAGTACGTGAACTCTGACTTTATTTCAGCGCATGGTGGGGGTTCTGTCCTGATGCATTTGGCACTGTTGTTCTGCTTCAGAAAAATGCTGAAGCATGTGGTTTTTAATTTGATTGTTTTGCTGGATCTTGAAGGATAGCTCAGTATTTATTCTCTGGGATGAAATCCCAGAATGAAAATCTGTATACTTGGAAAATAAATCAGCTGTCTTCAGTGGTTTTTTTTTCTCCCCAAACAGGTATTGCCTTTTACCCAGGCAAGGCTCAGCTGCTTAGCTGCAAACATCATTACTATGATCACATTCCGCCTCTGATAAATCCAGGTCAGCCAGGAAACATCGAGTGCACCACTCAGAGAATCAACTACACAGATCCTTTTACTAATCAAACTATGGTAATAATAATATCGTAGAACAAAGCTTATTCAGTGGGGGTTTTCTCATTGTAATGCTATTTGAAAATACAAATATTTGTTAAGTGCTGCAAAAAAATGTTGCTTCTAGGGTTTTTTTTTTTTCCCAAGCCATCGGTACTGTTTTCTTCAGAAATGTAAAAGGCCCCAGTCAGTGTATATGTGTGTTATGGATGATCAGCTGTCATGTGTGTGTGTGCAGCATGAAAACCTGAGCGGGACAAAAAAAGTCATGTTTTAACAATGAAACTCTTGCTTCATTCCTCTCCTAAATGAACTGGCAAGCATACTCCTTCATACAGTAAATCTAGCTTTGATTGAAAGCAGTAGCAGTTATTCTGTTAAAGCAGGATAGCTTACCTTTTTTTGTATGTTCACTGGGAATTACATACTATTTTTGTCACTCTTGGAAAAATCTTGCAAATTGGACACCAAGGTTTCATTACACTGAAATGGTGTGAGCTAATAAGATGGGTACATTGAGTGATAGTCTGTCTTAAATTGCCCTTAAAAATGCAGGGAATCTAGCTTCTGTATAAATAAGTGTTCAAAAAACAAAGCATTAAATATGGTCATTTGCATCTAAAGTGATTGCTCAGATTGTTTTTAAGGAAACTAAGTGTAAACAAACAAGCTATTTAGGTATCTCTTTGGTCAGCTGTTTTGCTCTTCATGTTTTGCCTTTTGTCTAGTCACCATTTCTTTCTGGGAAGCAGCTCCTTAGTATATTTGAAAGGGATACTCTAGATGCCAGTCTAATTCAGTTTCTGCTACTGAGGTGCTTTTTTTGCACGTTTTGACAAACTGAGAACCTGCGTTTTGTGCTGTGTGGTAGATTTGTTTAGAAGCTTGCTGATGCAGTAGGCTCTGGTCCCGCAGTTGAATGGAGAGGCACCGTGGCAGAGACCTCTGAAGCATGTAAAGCCCTGTTCAAATTGGCTGAGCCTTTTCGTAGCACCAGCTTGCTGTTCCATATAATGACCGAAGTACTTTACGTTGTATTCTGCCTGCTAGCATTTTTTTGGGTGGGGGGTTGGGGTTTTTTTCACCTTTCAGCAGCTTAGTTGAGGTGCGGGAGGCTGTGAAACTTTGTCTGTCTCAAGTAGAAGCTTGATGTTCTCCACATCAGACTCCACATTAACTTGTTTCGTGTCACGAGTTGAAAGTTCCTAGACTCCAGTGCTCAAAACAGTTTCGATTGTCCTCCAAAATGCAGGTTGAGGGGCCTTGTCTGGTAATTCCACGTGAACACAAAGGGTTATAATAGAACTAAAGCAGATGTCTTAGAAAAACACTAGATTTTGATGTAAAAGCTTGATTTTTAAACTGAGCTTAATTTTTAAACAAATGCTAATTCAGTTGGCATTCTTGTTAGATGTTTTAATAGACGTATACTTCGAAGTGGTCACAAAAATCTCGATGTGCATTAGCTTTCTGTAGAGTATTAGTGACAGATGGCAAGTTCATGAATGGGAAATGAGGATTCCTTTGCGACTCTCACCGTCTCTCTTTGCTTACAGAAGTATGCTTTGGTTGTCCAAGGCCCTCGCGATGTGAAGAAAAAGGAACTGGTGTTTTTGCAGTTTCATTTAAATGGAACAGACCAAGACTTCAGTGCCATTGACTACCTTCTGTTTTCTTCTTTCCAAGAGTTCATCAACAGGTATGTAAAGGCATGAACCTGTAACTGCGTCAGACTTGCCACAGCGATACTAGTGAAAGCAGAGCTCCTGGAGTAAAAATCAGTCTGGCTTTTATATTCTCATTATGTGTGGGGTTTGGTTTTTTTAATGTTTCAGTTACACTGATTCTTTTTCATGTCTTAGGTTGCTAATCTGACTTTTTTTAAAATGAGGACATTTTCAGTGACAAAATCTGCCTTTCAGCTATGCTTCAGCCATTGGTTGCTGGACTTTCTAAAAGTGTGAAGTTTGTGCTGGCTTACAGCTGTCTGGTGCTGTGGGTGATCAGGAAGTGCACAGAGAGCGCTAATGTCGCTGTACCTTTTTTTTCTAAAGCAATTACTGTAAAGATCAGATCCTTAGATTCGTTTGTTTTAATTTTGTTGAAAGACGAACTCTATTTCTTTGTAGTACTGGCTTTATTTAAGATTATACAGAATGATGTAATTTCGTAGATGGTGTCTTCAAAGTTGCCTCCTGTTGGTTTGACGTGGGAGCCATTGCAGTGACTGATCAAACTGCTTCTAATTTTAACAGGAGTGGAATTAATCCAGTCTTGAACTTTCTTGAAAGCTCCACCCTTTTTCCCTACTTTGTGAGAATAAATTCTATACTTAACTGTTTAATTTTTGCTTCGGTTTAAATTCCAGTTCTGTTCTTCTCTTTGTGGTCCAGATTAAAATGTAGACGAGCAGCATTATTCACTGTGAGACCTAATGGAAAGGCTTAATTTGGTAATAGATGCTAAGTGAAAAAGGGACAGGGGATAAAGGCCATATGCAGACAAAATTAGGTGAAGGAGGAATTTTTATTGTAACAAAGCATTCTTGGAGGCTTGGATGTGATCATACCAGTGCTTTTCAGAGGTGACCAAGCCTGGAAGTGTTCAGTCACAGTATCTCTGGGTGGCCAAAGACCAATTATCTGAATTCTCTTTTTACAAAGCGTTTCTACTTCAGTGAAGGAGCGATCTTAAGTCATAAAGTACTTTCTGTAACTGTACTAAAACACCTCATAAAATGCTGATGTTCCAGGTATTTTAGGCATTGATATTTCAGGGTGAGAAAATACCAGTTAGAGCAGTGATGCAGAAGGTGCGACTTTGTTCCCTCTGTGGTGTTTGTTTCCAGTTTATGTGGCTTGTGCGGCATTTAGCGGTGTGTGCGGTGGGACCAGTTCTAGCAAGGCGCACAGCTGTTTCTATACTGTCTGAGACCACCCCGTGTGAAACACAGCGGAAAGCGCGGTCGCGTTGCATCTGGTTCCTGGCTCTTCGCAGAATGAGCCAGCTCACCAAGACACACCTCGGCCGGTGCATACTCAAGTCTTGGAAGCCACGTTTCTCCGCTCATTGTAGTGATTTGCAGATAAGCCATGTTTAAGAGATGTTTCTTGCCAAGTGAAGTAGGACATACGTGTTTTAAGTGGGCAGTACTTCTGCACGCGAGCTGCAAGCCTGTATGCTGCTGTCCCAAAGGCTTGTGCCACGCATGCATTGTGCAAAGGCAGGGTGAATGTGCAAAACAGCAGTAAGCAGTATGGCACAGGTCCCGGCTGTGAGCTGTGTTTGTGTCAGCGTAGGTGAATCGGTAAGAATCATCTGTAAACCGCTGGGGAGAAACCTGGATGGCAGACTCTTGCCTCCAGGTTTGCCAAGTCAAACCGGTTAGATGGCAGATCAATCCCCAAAGAGATGGGGAAGTGTCGCTTTGTTCCTAGAGAAGCTGCCTTGTCTCAGTGTTGGAAGGCACCGGAACTGAAGCTGGGAGAGTAAAGGCTGAGCCTGGGTTATGTTCGGAGCAAAGTGGAAAAGGTTGGAAACGGTGGTGTCTGTTTAGGGATGCATCCTTCTTGTCCATTTGCAGCAGGTAGTAGGAGTGCGAGTTAAAACTGGTTTTGAAGTAACCCAGGTAACAGTAAGATTGGCAAAGGTATGTAGGCCTTTAAACGTAGTCGTAAATGATCTGCATGTCTAGGTGCAAGTTTGGTACAAGTGGTATGGCATGGCTTGCATGCTCAGCACTGTGTATTGCTGTCCTGGCCTCCCAGGGCATGAACTGTGCAGGCTCAGGGCAGGTTGAAAGCTGGTTTTCTCCTGACTGTGATCTGCACGGGAAACCGCATGCATGTGTAGAATGTACTTGTTCTGTCCAGCTTCCAGCAGAAGAGAAAATAGAAATGGTTTTTGATTCATCAGAGGAGGCTAAATTTAGTTGATGGGAAGTCTGGACTAAGATATCTGTAGAAACTCTTGTGTGCCCTTCCATTTGGCCTCTAAAAACTTCAATTACTGGCCACTGTTAGCTGCTTTTCCTGACCAAGTGTCTCACTGGTTACGAGAGCGTACTGTTAGCACTGTGTCCAGCAGTTCCTGTGAAGTGTGATCAGACATGCTGACATATATGCTAAAACTTGGGAGGTCTCCTAGTTACCTTTACAGTGTTTTGCCATGGCTCCAAACACCTTAGGTTGGGCTGGGCAGGCAGATTGCTGTAAAATACATGTGTAGGGTATTTCGTCATCTGAAATCACAATCCAAACCCTCATGAAAGCGGTGAGAAGAGTCCTGCTGTATCTACACCCCTGCTTCTGTGTAGACAGCAGTATGCACAGCTCACTTCTGCTTTAAATAGCAACCATCGTATCAGTGAAGGCTGTGGGCATCGGCCATGAGCAGTAACAAAAACGGTGCCTGGAGCCTTGTGTCTTTAAGGGGTTTTTTGAGGCATAGCAAGTGATGAGGACTCAAGTAAGGTCCAGTTGTTTCTGTCAAGGGTTTTATTCCTCACTGCTCTTCCGTTAAAATTGGATGGACAGACTGCATGAAACTGGCACTGCTTGCTAGTTTTGTCCTTGCCTTTGCAGCACATTGCTGAGCTGTGTGCTATTGCTGGTCTCCGAGCTGGAGGGATACTGCCACTCGCTTTTTTCTTCTTTCTTCTTTTTTTCCCCCCCCTGCGACAGTGGCAGCTGCTGCCTGTACCCTATTAATTGGAGGGAAGGAAATAATGAAACTCTTGCAAATTACCAGAAAAGCGTAGCTAAAAATACAAGTTCCTTTCCTGAACTGTCATTAGTGTAATACATGGGTTTAAGGAGAAAATCCTCTGAACGTATTATTGACAAAACTATTGTTAGCGTAGCATGTAAAATAACGTTACAGTCATGTGAAACGATGAATACCAGCCTGAACAGATCAGAGATTATTTAAGGGTCTAAGCAGAGCTCCGTGATCACATCTCTGGTCTGGATTGCTGCATGCAGAGAAATAAATTATAACGTAGAAGGGTCGAGACTTTTGATACCAGACCGTCTGACCCTTTATGAGATCCCATGGCTGGCTGAGAGCTTCCCTGTCTTGGGAAAAGCACAAGCAATAAACACAAATTGGGTTTGGCTCGTGCTGTTGCATTGGAGTCTGCTCGTGGGGCATCCTAAGCTCCTCTGACTCTCGTGGGTTGGTCCGTAGAGACTGGAGTTAGAAGGATCCGCTGCAGCTCAGTCTGGAATTTGGTGAGCAGCTCCCACCATAGGAACAAATGTAGCCTCTTGTGGTCTGATGTCGGCCAGACTGTGCTGGGGCAGTGGGCTCCCTGTTACCCCTGAACCGGCAGTGGTTACCAGGGAGCATTGGCTGGGAGACCAGGTGAGGCTTTGTAGCTCACCTGAGACAGTGCCCTCGTGCACTTTTCATCTGCAGTAATGTGGGAATTTTTGCATGGTCTGGAGGAACCGTTAATATCCTGGGAGAGCCTGGTGCAGTGTATTCCAGGAATCTCACCATACAGATAAAGGACAGTGTAATAGGTAGAAAAACTTACTGAACAAAAAAAAGTGAAGCCTTTGCAGGTTGTCTTTGGGGTGAAGAGGGAATGAAAAGAAACTGCCTGGAGAATTGTTCTTGGCTTAAAGTCCCTTGCCTGTCTTATGTTCACTTAGTCGTGTGTGGTTTTTATATGACATTCTTTGCCCTCTGCTATCATTTGTGCAAAGCCTGTACCTCTCTGCTTTGCTCCCCCCACCCCTCTTTTTTTCCTGACTGTGTGGCAGTGGTCTGGATTATGGGCACATGCAAGGAGATGCCTTCTCAGATCACTTCTCTGCAGCTTCTCCTAAGGTATTATTAATCTTTCTTTTTCAAACCTATAATTACTGGTGAAGGCAAAGTATAGTGCTGCCATCTGCTTACCATGTAAGTTGTGGCTGTAACGTTCAGCTCTGCGTCATAACTTCCTGCCTCAATTTTCCATGCTGGTTTGGAAAGCTTTTGGGGGATGCTGTATTTAGTCAGGCATTAGGCATATGACTGGCTAGCAGTGCTAATTCTGTACGTTCCTCTGAGTGGCAAAGCACCGTGCTCTTCCGTACGGTCCCCTCACTGCTGCCGTCCCCACAGACGGAAGGGGGAGGAAGTCGCTGCCGGATTAGGTCTCCCCGTGTCATTGGTTTGCCTGGTGAGGGGCAGTCAGGCCACAGGCTTCGTTCTCGTGCTTTGCCCACATCTCCGGTGGGGGGGTGAGAGGTGCGCTGCCCTCTGGTTGGGATCACTGAACAAGCACCTAATGTTACAAACAGATACAGACATTCCTAAAACACTCTTGGAATAGCATAGAATGGGTTGGGTTGGAAGGGACCCAAATCTTGATGGGTAGCTAAGCTTTTTAGTTTTTCTTTCCAGAGATGCGTTTCCTTCCTGCGTGTGCGCAGCGGAGTTCTGTGTGTGAGCCGTCACCTGCAGCCCTGGCTTGAGAGCGATGCCTTTGCTGGGTTTTGCCTCCCCACGAAGGCGTGCATGTTCATCTGCTAAGCTGGAGCAGGCAACGTAGTACAGAGTAGCCATCGGTATGATGTTCTTTTTACCAGCGCGTGCTTTTGCTGCCTTATAGACAAGGCATCTCGGTTTGGAGGAAGAAAAGGAGCCTTGAGTCTCAAAACTAAGGCAAAAGACAGGAAAAGTGCAAATTCAGTCAGTGCTGGTACAGGACAGATCTTCCCAATTGGGCTCTTCTCTGGGACAGGAGCTTGCTGCTTCCGCTCTGCTTTTCTTCTTCACATCTTTCTCCTGAAAGACCGAGACACCTTAAATCTCCCAACAGACCTAGTTGTGTGCTTTCTGCCATACGAGCAAAGGAGGCTCTTTCACCTAGGAAGATGGATTTAATCAGGCAAAACCCTTTCCCTTGTCTCAAGGACCAGCATACCCTGACATGTCTCTGCAGCCTGAAATCTCTCTTTACTAAAAATCAGCAGTCTGTACTTTAATGATTCATGACTCATCACAGGAGTTTACCCCTTCATTTTAAATGAAACCTTGGTGAAAAAGCAGCTGCAGGGCCAGGCTTCTTTCATAGAGATGGTGTGCAAGTGGCTAAAATCGCTGTAGTGAAGAGCTTCAGGTAAATAGTGTGGTTAGTTCAGGGTTCTGTGGAGCTGGGAGGGTAAGGATGGGGACCAAATATGTTTTAGAGCTGCCTCTTTACCACTTGCAGCGTGAGGGGTATTGGAAGCCTTAAAATAGTTTATGGGCGCAGTAGTAAAAAAATAGAAAAGCCACAAAGCAATTCTGCTGGTCTGAGGCTACAGATATCGGTGATTGCAGGTTGGGAAAACAGCCGTGTTATTGCAGGTGGGAGCCTCACACCAAGGTATAGTGTTTCCAAATTATTAGGAGTACCTGAATGTAAATTTCAAACCATTTGAAGTATGAGCAACCTGGTCTAGTGGAAGGTGTCCCTGCCCATGGCAGGGGGGTTGGAACTAGATGGTATTTAAGGGCCCTTCCCACCCAAACCAGTCTGTGATTCTGTGTCTGCACTGCGACCGATTTATCTGCATCCCAGAAATGGGATGAAGCAGCCTGTCCTGCCTCTAGGGTGTTCCTTCTACCTCTTGCTTCCCAGCATTGTGGCGAGTTGTTTCCTGGGGTCCTGGCTCTGCTCCTTTCTGCCCCAGAGCTTCCGGATGAGCAGAATGGAGCCCCCCTGTAAGGCAGGGCAGTCCCTAGAGGCAGGCAGGACTCTAGGACAGCAGGGCACCAGGTAAGTCTTCTGCGGTTAAGAACACACGAGGGCAAGCGCTACTGTTAATAAAAGCACCACTCGTCACGACGGTTTAGATAGGCTGAACTGCAGCAGTTGAAACATGAAGGGAACTGTGAACACATTTTGAAGTGCCTGTAGGTCTGACATTCACCTGCCTACAGTGCTGAGGTACCGCTCTGAGTTCGGTCAGTGAAGTAATGGTCTTTTTCCTTTAGTCCAGAAAAAGCAGAATTCATGAAGGACTGTGAAAGTTCATACTCCAGCTGGAAGTTTTCTGGAGGCTTTCGAACTTGGGTCAAGATGTCCTTGGTGAAAACAAAGGAAGAAGATGGTAGTGAGACTGTTGAATTCAAACAAGAGGTAAAAAAAAAAAAAAAAAAAAAAGTGTTTCCGGACCTCTTAGTTTATTAAGAACAAGTTACTGCCACGGCTTTAATGATAACCAGCCAATAGAACCAGTTCTTGGGGCAAACAGCAGTATGAGTCAGAAGAAGGGTGAGTGGGTTGGTTGGTTAAGTCAGTCAAACATGAGGAGCTTGTTTTTTGTTTCACTGCATCCACTACGCCATGTGCCAGTTTTGGCTGTGCAGTTACTTGCATTCTTTAACGCGAAGAGGTTCTGTAAAAGCGTAAATGTCTGGGTGTGCTCGGCTGTTGGTATGGTGACACCCCCCAGGAAAGCACCTCCTAAGGGGGAGGCCAGAAAATCCCAGCCTCGAAGTGCCGTAAGTGACACCTGTAGCCTGAGAGAAGGGTCTGAAGAGATGGGCATAGAAATACTATCACAGCTACCTTCCGTTCAAGGTGGGGAACAGTGCCGAAGGAACTGCCTGAATAACAGCTGGGAGCGGAGAGAGGTACTGTTCAGGTTACCACAGGAGCTGATGTTAGGATGAAGAGAGAAACATAAGCCTTGTAGCCTTTGTAGCATTCTCTTGTCTCTGTCTTGTTCGGGTTTGGGATTTGTAGCTGTTGAGTATCCTTAGAAACATGGAGTAATTTAACTTCTTGTCTCATTTAAAACTAGAAAACAAGCAGGTGGAAGATGCAAACTTAGCTGGAGATGAAACGGGCTTGACTTTCATTCCTGGTCTGTTCACGCTACTGGACAGGAAAACGATTGTGTTTTGAGTTGGTTACCTTGCTCCCTGTGTTGGCTGGAGAGGAAGCGGCTCATCAGTGGGCAGGAAGGAGGATTTTAAGAGCAGTCCGTTCCAGACAGTGTGTCTTTCAGAGACTACTTTCTCTTAGTCCATACTTGAAAGAGTGCTTTGTGGAGATCAAACTGAAGCAGAATCTTCAGTTCTCCTCTCTTTAGTTCTTATTGTTAGGGCATTCTGTGGCAAAGCCTTAAGGGAAGAGAGAAGCTGTGACTGAGGTGGGTACCCTCCTACTCCACTGGAGGAGGGCAGGAGGCAAATCCCAGAGTCATGCAAGTCCCAAACTAGTGCCTGCCTTTGGAGGAGAGGAAGGAATGCATCAGTCAGCTGCTGCCATGTAAGTGCTAACAGCAGTTGTCTGTCTGTCCTTCATCACCTAAGGCTCTGTACCACCTGCTGTTTGGTACTTACGTTACTTGTTAAAGTCCTCCTTTGTGTGCCCAAGTCTGTGGTGTCTTAAAGTGGCAACAAAAGGCAGACTCAGAAAAAAAATGAGCTTTTTGTGACCATGAACATCCATGTAGTCCAGCAGTTTTTGGCTTTCTGATCATCTGGGCAGGTGAATGCTGTGTTGGGGTTTTTTTTAATTTGGTTTGTGGGGTGGTTGATTGGTTTGTTTGTTTTTAATAAAACGTAGGGAATGGGTACAGATGTGAATTCTGGGTTTCAGATCCCTGTTAATAACACAGTAGAAGTTGAAATAGCTCAGCCATGAATTGCACTGGCTTTGTTTGACAGCAGTCTGCTCAAATTGCGTAAGGAAGTCCATTAGCCTTTCATATGTAAAACTGGGAGACAGCATAGCAGGAAGACTGATACAAGTATTAGGTCAAATAGCACGGTCAGTTAGTCTGCTCTGCTCACTGGCCCAGTGGTCATTACTTTGTCTTCGCCTCCTTTCCCATCGCCTTCATTTAGCTCTGCTCACTGTTACCTGGTGTGCAGTTTCCTCCGATGAGCGTAGCTGGGGTGATGGTGTGCTGTAAGAAGTAAATGAGCTGTACAAGTACAGGGTAAGCCTGCAGCAAAGGGCTTTGACCGGATAACAGGGGGAGGTGAAGCTCTGAATGGACATACATGGTGCTCTAGCTCCTGCTTCTGTGTGTTCACAGCCTAAAATGTGGGCAGGGTGGGGTGTGTGGAGAGGACTGATGGAAACCTTGTAAAGAACCCAAGTGGTGGCAGATGGGTGGATTTGGTAGTAGGCCATCCCTAGTACAATGAAAAGGCTCAGGAGAAGATGAAAATAGCACTGTTGGGGGACTTCCACTCAGCCTTCATCTGCCTGGAACAATAAGCTCCCAAAACATGGAAAGGGCAGTTTCCTCCTTCTGTCTTGTGTTCCTGTCAGAACGGTACTGCTGGGATTCATTACTACCACTATGGTTGGAAACTCACGTAGGAGGAGCAGGAGTACACCCTTGTGCACCCACCCAGACGTAAATGTTCCTTTGAGAGTTGGAGAATCCTAGAATCACAGACTGGTT